ACCAAATTTTCAATAGATTTGTTAATTTAACCCAAAAAAACTAAAAAACAAATATCGCTTGCTAACTTCACGCGCAAGCCTGATACGACCAACTCACAAGAAATAAAGAGTTCTACAGTTCCCTAATGGTTCCGAAAAAAGTTCCGCGAAATCCAGAAAAAAAAAAACAAAAAAAACTTTTACATACATTTTTTTTGTTATTACTTTATAATCCGAGTTCCTACAAAACTGCATACTCAAAATCTTTCTAAGGGCCGCACAGTGGTTCGGATCGCAAATCTAGCTGGACGAAACTATTTAAACAAATACTCGTGGATGGATCTTTACACCACTTCTTACCTAGGGGATTTTTGGGTCGCTGATTACGAATCTGAACTCACTTATCAAAAATTCAAAATGGCGGATCCAATATGGCGGACGAAAATAAAAAAAAATCGGTAGATTTCTATGAAACTGGGTATCTGGGGGTTTTCTGGGTCGCTGATTACATATCTAAAGTCATTTACCAAAAATTCAAAATGGCGGATCCAATATGGCGGACGAAAATTAAAAAAAATCGGTAGATTTCTATGAAACTGGGTATCTGGGGGTTTTCTGGGTCGCTGATTACATATCTAAAGTCATTTACCAAAAATTCAAAATGGCGGATCCAATATGGCGGACGAAAATTAAAAAAAATCGGTAGATTTCTATGTAACTGGGTATCTGGGGGTTTTCTGGGTTGCTGATTACGAATCTAAAGTCATTTACTTAATTTACTTTATTTACTTCGGAACGAGCATTTTCATCAGATATTTCTTTCAATTTACTAATCACATAATCACGGACACCTTGTTGTCGTTTAGAAGTTTCAGCAACACTTCTCCAAATGTCAAACAATTCACTTCTTAAGATTTTATTTACCATGACTAAAATTTAAGATCACAGCAAGAAACACAAATAAATTTCAGAAACAACAGCGCTTAAAGATTTGCATGCCTGTTGTATAATTTTTTAATTTCAGAAATTAGAAAATTCGCGAGCTACTATTTTTTCTTAACACTTACATAACCAAAGTTTTTATAACTCCCAGTATTTTTCTGTTTTAACATACAACCCCTACCCCCTCCACCCTCCCCCCACCCCTCTCTCACGTGGATCCGCCACTGATCTTATATTTATATTCAGATACATTCCTGTTAATAATTACTTTTGAATTTTGAGATTTGACATACCGTCACTAAAATGTAAATATCTAAGCCAATTGGTTAGACTTGGTTATCGAACTTACCCTCTGCATTTGCGAAGGTGTAAAGAATAATATGCAAGTGGTTTTATAACGGCCTTCGGCGGCCTTTACTTTTCCTACTCTTTAATTTATTTTTTTAATTAATCAAAACGACGATTTTTCAGAATAAATTTGCTTATACCAATGTGGACATAAATTGCGTTATGACCTCTGAATCTATAGCGAAATAAGTGTAATTTTTTGTTTATAAAGTCAATTTGCAGTTAT